CGGTGTGTGGGTGGTGCAGAGCAAAACACCCATGCTCCCTCTGTAGGCGCATGCATCCTGTGGCTGGCCATAAGTGACAGGGAAATCCGAAACCGGATGCCGCCAACCGTATATATATATATATATATATATATATATATATATATATATATATATATATATATATAGACTCCAATGCTTAGTTGAAATTCATTGTCATTAGAACAAGAGATTTCTGCAGCACTGGCTTCAAACACTTTCGATCATTGTTATTTGGATTTCAACGTTTCAGCTGATATTTCAGAGTGGAGAAATAAGCCCAAATACGTTTGAAAGGTGGGAAATCGTCAGCAAATTGTCCAGACTCGTCGCATTGTGTTGTGAGATAAGTGAATAATATCGCACAGACAGGCGAACTATTTATCACTTGCATCTCACACTCCTCACAAAGTTCACACCCACCAACCACAGATACGGATATAACACAGCAAGAACTGACGTTCGGAGAGGACAGACATGTCCGAGCAGAACAGCGTGCAAGTTAATGGTGTCCTGGTAAGTAGAGCTCTGTGTATCCTGAAGGCAATAAACAACCACTCGGATTTGGACACTACGATGTTGGATTTGTTTAAGGCCATTGACTACCTCAAAGATGGTGCATTGCTTTTTGCTCTTAGTCACTAGGCTTTTGTAGCAATGCGTCATTGTTTATCTTTGATGCTGGCAGCGACCGACAGCACATCTTGGCGACAACACTTACTTCGCACGTGCACAATCTAACTGGAATTGAGCATATCAGTCAGAACAGTGGGAACGCTTTTGAGTAAGAGTTAGATACTGCAACTGTATATCACTTCTGGAGGTAAGGGTCACAGTAATTCATTTGAACACACTACTGCTTTCCAAAGCTGTCCAACAAGATTTCCTTCGAATTGATTGGCCTCTTATCTTGTTTCCACAGTCTTCACACACTGAGTCAATTCTCCGGTTACCAGCGGCAAGCTGTGGTCACCAACGTCATGATCGAGTACTTGACCATTTCTTCTCTTCTGGATCCCAGGGCTCCGCATTGCACTTGGTACATTTTGTTACTCCATCACGCACTTATAAGCTATATGTATCAGCCATCGCAAAAGGGGACTTCCCCAGCAATTTTGATGGTTGTTAATTACCCTTATTGCTTCAGGATTGCTCGTCGTGAATACTTTTGCAACTGATCTACGTCCATCACCTTGGGTTTGCTGCGTCTGGAAGAAATGTTTGTGGCTTGTATGTACCTGGCCCAACGCATCGCTTACGCGACCCAGAGATGCGTGGTGCTTCTGACGGACCGAAGTTCTGGGGCAATGATCCGGGAGCATAGCCGGTTAAAAGAGACTGCGAAGCTTTCTAGCACCTCATCTTGCTTTTCCAACCGCATTACCTTTTTGCAATCCATCAGCATAAAGAGCGCGCTGCAACCGAAGCTAAATTACGGATAAGCTTCTAATAATCCTATGAATTCTCTGCCTTGGATCCCAGTTCATGAACGTTTACTACACCTTTTCTCAGCCAAATGAATCCATAACGCTTTCAAATTCCTCCTTAAGGAAATCATGTTCATCCGTAGATCTTTCAACAAAGTCCATCACGCTTTCAAGTTGAATCCAGCGGGCACGAACTGTCCTGAATGCTACGATCCATTGAGTGACCGAATCCAAATAAAAAGTATGATCCCACTCTGTCTGTTCCGCTGTTATAATATCTGCTTACTTGAGATTGGCCACTCAGCGAACAGCACATAATTTTTAAAGTCTTTGCACACGTTGGATTCAACTTGCAAGCGTTATGGGTTATCTTGAAAAATCTACTGAGGAACATTATTTCCTTAGGGCGGAATTTGGAAACGCTATGGATCCAGTTCGCTGAGTAAAGGTATAGTAGCTTTTTATCGACAATCGGTTTAACTCGATCCACATCACCACTGAATTTTGATGAAGTTACGATTAGTTTCCTCTTTCTTTGGATTCTTGAGGCGTCGAATCACATTCCGAACTCTGGTCTGTTAAGCGCTCGTTAGCATTTCTGGTAGGGACGATCACAGTGGTATGAACAGCTGCCGCCTGTTCCGCTTGGCTGTTTTTCTGTTACTTTCCTCTCATTCTGTTAGGATAATATGTCGCTAAATCCATGTGTTCCAACTGTAGTCAATGGTTGAACCGTCGTCTCCAACGCTCGAGACCACGCGACTGAACTTGAACTTTAATGGACGTTCCGTGAAACAGCATACACTCAGCACCAACGGTATTACGGCTGTCAAATCTTGTTCGGATTAAATACTTAACCGATACCTTTGCTGACTGCCTTAACTGTGCGATAAACTGCCTACAAAATGAATCAATGGAGCCCATAAAAAAAGCCGTCTCACAGACATCACCTAATCTCTACGCGTTGGTCATCAGCTTGCAATTAGTCTTTCAGAGTTCCCACCCACCTCCGAATCTAATAACCGATCTATTTTCAGCCTATACTGTTTCCTATACTGAAGCTAAAGCTTCCTAGTTACTCAAGGCACTATAACAGCGAAACATCCTAGCACGTTATATGATCTACTACTGGCTACCTTTTATGTGCTGTCTGCCGAGCCGCTTTGGTGTGTGCACTTGCTTTTGCGCCACTATTGTACTCTGTAGTTAAAGCTCTTGTTGCTTTTCCGATGTAGTGGATCTTTGAAGTGCCGTGTCTCTCCCTTTGTAGCAGACCGGTCGACATGACTGTCCAGCCCTCTCAGTTCTAAGTAATCTCGTTTGATTACATATCGTTTCCCATACGCCGAACCTAAACCACACTTCTACAATGTGCGCTTCATTCTACTCTGATCCATCCTTGTTGGCCCAGGGAAATTTCTTTCAGTTCATCCTCTCCAAAAACGGAACCATTTAATCTGAGTTACACAAGCTTCCTCATGTTCCCTAGCTAAATCCATCGTTTTGCCACAAGACACACTTTGTCCTTCAAAAGTCACACGAAGATTTCGTTGGGATTCTACTCCGATGCTTGTGTTTTAAATTGCGCAACAGCTGTTTTCTCTGTCCTCATCCTGCCACCGATGTCTTGGCGAAGATCTGCTGTTAGTTGTCATGGTCATTCGGCTGTTCGTAGGGTGATCCACCTTCGCACATCTGTGTAGGCATTCCTGAACTAAGTTCGTGTTGTGTTGCTCATTCGATGTTCCTGTTGGATTCTCAACTGAGCGCACCACTTCACTGTTGGTCTTTCGACCACTACATCGGTTCATGTGTCATCTCTATGTTCCAGTTACCTGGCAATCGTATCGCTTCAGGCTCACCTCTCTGTGGCTTGCTTTTGAATGAGCAGTAATCATCGTTTGCGTCGTGCAACTATCGTTCATTCGACTTATTTCTTTCACTTGGAATAACAACTTTCCAAGCTCCCGAGGATTGTCCCTACCCGATCTATCTTGTGTACCCACAAATAACAAGCAGCACGATAGTTGTAATTCAGTCCCTTCCCTCAATTGTACTCGTAGCGTCGAAGTGCAATGCACCGGATCGTCAGATCACATTTTTCCATAGCAACAGAATGTAAGGTTGAAGTGTAAAATCAAACGCACTACCGACGAAACAGCACAGATTTCATAGAGGCGTGAATTAAAAATTTGACAGTTGAAGTCGCCGGCCCGTAGCCTTAAAGATTACAAACCTACCTTGTAATCCCACGGCGCGGGTTCGAGCCTGCCTAGGAACCGGGCGATCTTCGCAGTACCTCTAGCCCATGCGCGACTGGTGATGGTTGCGCGGTTGCGAAGCGTCAGTACTGCACACCGGCATACTGTTGATGCCTGAGGCGCCGAAGGGGCGAGGGAACACCGCCTTGCGTCTTCAGTGTCACATTCCCGTATCTGATCCCCTCGAAGAATTTTCACCAACGACATTTCCCAATCTGACCAAGATCCCAATTCCTACTCACCTAATCATTTGTTCATCCTGGCGCGCTTTCCGTTATGTCGCATTTTCTGTGAATAACCCACTCATGTAGGCCTTGCGAACAGTTCAAGTTGTCAATTTGCTCAGTATTTTCTTTTTCGTTGTTCAGTGACTCACTTTCTACACCTTCGGTCTCCCTGTGGCCTAACCAGCTACGAGCAAAGTTCCAAAAATACTTCGTCCGCTCGCCACATTTAGGTTTCAGTCTTCACTATGCGTTTGCATTGCCGTCCGCAGTCCTAATTTCAATCATTGTTCAATTTGAACTCAAATTCTGTCGTTCTATTACTTCCCAATGTTCCAGCAATTGTACTCACTTAAAATCCTTTAAGTTTATCCTCATTACGTGCCCCTATCACGAGTTCATGTGTTTTACTGAGTCCTTCGCGCTCCTCCCGTTATCTACAAATTCTACTCATTCGAGAGTGTAGTTTTTCTAACCCACAGACCTTGTGTTAGATCGCTTGAGCTCATTTTGTCCTGTGGTCTCATCGAATTCCTTCATAATGTGTTAGTTATTTCCTCAAATTATGCCACCTAATGTTCACCCTGGGCAGTTACTTTTTGTGAATTGGTTTCTTATTCCGTCTAATGGAAACACGTAGTGATACGATCCACACTAACAACGTCTGCTAGTTTGCCAGGCACACAAGTCTCACCACACTGCACGCATTTCCACCGCAAATCACTACCACTCATCATATGGTGTCTTAGCACTGATGAGCCAATTCTTTTAAATTGCTGTGGCTGCCCAGCATTTTTTAGCAATGAAAACCTTGTACTGCGTGCGAAAACCAGAAGGCTGTAGGATCTATTTGTACGAGCGTCAGCCGGTGTAACCGTGCGATCGGTTGCAAAACAATTGCTTTTCTGTAACTGTACAACGGGCGCTAATATCATTAGTGCTTGGAGCCATTGGTTGCTAACCATTTTTTGCAACCCTCCTTTTCCACTGTCCCTGTGATTTCATACATTTGTCGCTAATACTCCATTTAATGCCTCTCTTTCATTATCCATCGATTCTAAATGCCACAGAAAATCACCGCGGTCAGCTCCGTTTCGCTTGCGTTGCGGAAAAGCGAGCGGTTTCGAGCCATTCTCGAACTAGTGCTGGCCTTCGGGAATTACGTGAACAGCTCACGCCGCGGCATCGCTTATGGTTTTCGCTTGCAAAGTCTAGACGCGGTAAGTTCTGTTTCACGACTGGCTTCCATCACTACATCATACTCAATTACGATGAACTCAGGTTGCGCTGAACTCACACAGAAAAATATTCACAAGCTTCATATCCATCAAGGCGTTTGATCAGTTTTTTTCCTGTATGGTAGCGACATTTATCATAAATACCGTGGTCAAACTTGTCTTTACCATCTGTGGTTTGCCTGTTGATTTTGTGAGTGTGCGTGCATATGTGTTCTTGCGTAAGTGAATGTTTACTATTTTGTATATGCTTTCCAGTTATCACGCTGCTGCATTGCTTGATGAGACACTAGTGATGTGTAAAATAAGTATTAGGACCAACAACTTAGTTGTTACCACTGAATAGCAAGTGAGTGCGAAGTTTCACTTCATTTCTCTCAATTGCCGTCTCAGATTATACAAAATCTCTTCCCAACCCAACAGGCTGCCATGCAGCATCTATGCTTTTGATCTGCTTATATGTTCATTTCTCAAGTCCTCGTTTGGTCGCCTTGATCTATTTGCATACTTGATGAACCGGACACTGCTCCTTAAGCAATTCACTGTAGTCCCGTTGACTTCTCATCTTAGCTACTCCAAACTACTTTGGCTTGCGAACCTCAGTATTAAGTCCCGTAGCTATCCTGTTTGTTACTTGCATGTTTATCTCTTTCTGGAAACCTGAACAACATCTTCCGGCCACTGGCAACCGAAGAGAAATGTGTTATTGTTTCTCCTACTTCCAGTGGACAAGTTCGTACCTCGTCTCCTTGGTTGCACCACTGTGTCACATACTTTTACGGAGTAGTTGATATCGATCTCCTCTACGTCCCACTGTGTTTGAAAGCTCACTTGGGTCTTCCGAACCGCGTAATGACTCTCGACTATTTAGATGATGCGACCATCCAAGTGCGTGAGCTGATCAGTCAGGTCGGTACCGATCTTTTGGCAGTGCTTTTTACGCTGAAGGTTTGAGGATCAAATGAGTACTTCTCGTCAAGTTATTTTGCGGCGCTTACATAGGAGCCATGTTCACAGCCCGAACGAGCCACGCCTTTCGCATGTTGCAGTCCTTTCAGTGATGCCCTGCAGTGTTTCATCTCACATGGAGCCTTCGGAACTGAATACTTGTGAATTACTTCACCTACCAATTTAAAGGAAGGAGGCTAAGTTAGATAACTCCAATGCACCCACATTCGTTGCCTCGAATGTGAGGGTTCCGTGGACCCCTACGGTGCTGCGAATACCGCAGTGGATTGATCAGGAAGGATAAGTGACTTCCTCTCAACATTTCTTCACTATAAAACGGGACACACGTAGGCACAGTCGGTTATTTCATCCGGTAATGTATCTGACTAAGCTGCGCTTCTCATGCGGCCTCGAAACACCATCCATCTCATCCGATCTTGCCAACTGCCAATCCTGCTCCATTCCACATGGTATATTAGTGGAATCACACGAGTTCTGTGGAGGCTTGCTGCTCATTTATATTCGATACGATTCCAGGCGTCATACTAATATCTCTGTCTAAGCTCACAGGTCACTTGGTGGTAGTTAGCTTACTCCCTGTCCTAACGCCAGGGCCAATCTTCATTAGGCTTACCCAACTGGTTTATTAGTGACAGATGATGTAACGACTTGACATTTATGCTCCTCATGTAATCAGCTGGTCGCTGTGCCACTGCTCGTAGATTGAGCACTATACTTGCCTACACTAGGTCATGTTCGATATCAAGACACGTGCGCTAGATAGATCATGTGCATCCTGCGTAGTTACAGATCATGTGGTCAGCTTAGAACTGTTACGTCCACATTAACTTTAACCGATAATCCGATACAGCTTCTGCAGATACTGCTCCAGCTAACTTCTCAATCCACCTCAACTTACAACAAAAAAGTTCCAAAAGACAGCGTTAATTACAGTTAGTATAACTGGATATTTCTCTGGACAGATGACCTAGATGTATGTTCTTTGATTCTCTTCGTTCTGGAACTGATCTAATGCACTCATTGATCTGCCGCTGGCCAACGTTTCATGCTTGGTTGATCCGAGCTTCTATTTGCGATAGCATCATGAAAACGGACTTGGACAAGCACCACAACTTTTTGTTCTGTACGTAAGAATCATTGCTGGGTCCACCTTTGTGTTAGAAGGTCTTGCTGTTGGTGTGTTTTCGAAGAAAGCACCACGATTACTAGCGCTGTTTGTGTCCAATCTGTTTTGTCGTCCTATATACTTTTCTGATTCCAATAGGTCATCCACCTGTGCGTCCATGTCAGCGGCAGTACCCACGTTACCCGTATAACTAACCACTTGGACGAATGATAACAGTTGCTGGTGTTCGTCTCTGCAGCCCTCGTGGTTGTAGCCACTGGGAGCACACACCGAAACAATGAACCTACATCGCATCTCGAACTCCAGCTTATCGTTCGCTTAATCCCTTTACTCATTCCAGAGCATTGTTTTCACTCATTGTGTTGGCGTCATATCCGACACCACAAAAGTGCCGGACCGCTGACTCGACCTCCCTGCATGTACAAAGGACATAACCATCATCATAGCTGACATCTAGTTTCAACTCTGGCATCAGGTTACGGTCGCGTTGCCCTGCCCACGTGTTTTTGACTCTCAGTGCGCTTCAGCTCCGTTATGGTACCGATTACTGATTACTAGTTGGAAGCAACAAGTAGAGTTTGCTCTGTGTAGCTGCATCTAATGTCACTCAGGGCCAAAGACCAGTTATGTTGTGTTGCGCTCAATATATTTTGTGTCGGCAAACTGTTTGTCCAGGAACTTCTTAAATTCCGACACCGACTTTGCCTCAACTACGTGCTGCGGCAGGTCGTTCCATACATTCACCACTCTCCGTTCGAAACAGAGTTACTGAGCGACCCGCCTCAAATCCGGTATGACTAGCTTGTACCGGTGTCCTCGTGTGCGCAGTTGAAGCAGCGGTCTCAACATGGGGTAATCTCCCAGATGTAATATCCAGTGCGTCGTGATGAGGTCAACCCGCATTCGACGATAAGCTATGGTGTACAGCCCTAGTTTCTTACACCGGTCTTCGTACTGCACACCTCGTAAGTTGGGAATCAGCCTGGTGGCTACATGCTGCACTCGCTCAATCTTTTATACCTCGCCCCGGGTGATAGGCCAATACGTGGGAGATCCATACTCTAGCAATGATCGTATTATTGAGACGAAGAGGCAAGTGGCAATTTTTTCGGACCAAGTGCTGAAGCTGCGCCTGAGCACCCAAAGCATACGAAGGCTGTTTTGGTAAAGTCTGTTCGTGTTGTCCATGGGCTTTGGGTCATAGCGTGAGAGTACACCGAGGTCGCGCACGAAAGGTGCGGGATGCAACGGTTGACCAGCCACCGTGTAGTTTCGACTGTGCTCACACTTACCCAGCCTGACGAATTGCGATTTGACCGGATTGATCGGAAGGTTGACCTCTGCAGACCACGTGGAGAGTTGGTCGAGGTCCTGCTGAAGCAAATCACAATCATTGGGTGTGCGGATTATTCTTCACACTTTCAATTTATCTGCGAACAACGCACAAGGTGATTGGAGTAGCTGAGGCACATCGTTTACCTGGATGAGAAACAAAATCGGCCCCAGTACAGTGCCTTGAGGCACGCCACTGCTCCATGGATACCAGTCGGTTAAATGGTTGTCCACCTGGACTCTCCACTTTCGATCAACGAGGAAATTCCTGATCCATTGGTGCTGCGAGCCACCAACAGCGCACACCCTCAGCCTGTCGAGGATGAATGCTGTTTCGAGCGATCGCAGGCGTTGAAATCCTTGGTTGGGAACCTGCCTCTTCGGGTTTGGGGATGATTTACTTTGACTTGGTCTACATGATGAACTCACTGTTGTCTCATTTCAGCACACGTAGATAGAAGCGAAGGATTAAAGTAGAAAAGTAACGGGCTGAAGCAGCTAATACGCTTCTGTCGTCATTTCGCCTGTTTCCACACCCTCTTTTGTAGTTATAATGTACAATCCCAACCCCTCTTGGAGAACGAGCTACCTCGAATAAATATTGAATATCGAGCTTAGAGAGCTAGAAGCTACACATGTGTTGTTCCATCTATTATCGAGAACACACGTAGCATAACGTCCTTTATTGCTGCACACTGTTAACGCAGTTCGGTTGTGCGACGTCCTATTCAGGTGCGATGCGGTCTCGAAATTTGTACTCCGCAAGATAGGCGTTCAAAGCTCTTGAATTCCGACATCGATTTCACTTTTGTCTCGGGCGAACTGTTTTAATATTTCAGCACTCGAAGCATACTGAGTGAGCTATCCGCTTCACAGGTTCAGTACCACAAGCTTCTACCGGTGCGTGCGTGTGCTGCTTGATGCTCGCACGTGTATAAGCAGTTTCAGCATCGGGGAAGTCACCCAGATGTGATATCCAGCGCGACAGTATGAGGTCCACTCGAAACCGACGATAGTACAGGATGTAGGGCTTCATTCTCCTGCATCCGTCTTCGCACGACATACTCAACAAACTAGGGTAGAGCCTGGTAACCACATGCTGAACACGTTCCAGTTTTCGCACGCTGCCACGGGTTATCGGACAATAGGCAGGTGTGAGTCTTGCTCGAGCATTTGTCTTATGATGGAAGTGAAGAGTCCAGTGGCAGTTTCTTCATATCAAATGCAGGATCTGCGTTTGAACGCCCAAAACATGCGTAGTCCGTTTCCATACAGCTTGTTCGTGTTATTCACGGACTTCAAATCGTAGCATGAGAGTACACCCGAATCCTTCACGGAAGATGTGACATGTAGGAATTGGCCGGTCAGAGTCAGTCTTCCCAAGACCCATAAATAACGACTTAACTGGGTTGTTTGGCATATCAATATTTGCAAACCACGTGGACAGGCGGTCTAACTCGTACGGAAATACATCACCGTTGTCAGGAACATCAGGTCGTCTGCCAACAGGGCACAAGGTAACCGAATGAGGTACCTCATTGCTGTGGATCAGGAACAAAATGGTTCCCATTATTTTACCTTGAGGTACCCCACTAGTGAATGAGTGAAAGCTTGACTTTCGTTAGTGCTTTCTTGAGGTCCATTGAGTGTAACCCCCTCGTTTTCAACCCTGCTTGATGGCTCTTGAGACCACTGTCAACTGCATGCGTGCCTAATCATGTCCGAACCTCATTGGTCATAGCTTGCTTAGTTTCAGGCTAGCTGTAACTACCAGCGGTTTACAACGGAGGCTCTCTTTCATCGTCGTAGTCATCCCATTGCGCATTTACTGCCCGCAGACAGCGATCTCAAATTATTTAAACTTTCACTGAATAGGTTTTTTACTCTCCCGCAGATCCCCTATGTGAGTGGTGATGAGATCAGGATTGTGCTATGAGTTTGTTCGGAGAGGTTCTCATGGAAGTTAACGTACACTACGCGGCTTAGCTCAGCGGATCATGTGGGCTGGTAGACACGATGTGTCTTTAATGCACACACTCGTTCCTGAGAACGAAATACGCTTAAGCAGGAAACTGGGCCACCTCTATCCCCTTTGTAACCGATGTTTTCCGTGCACTCCAAATGCTTGACACTGATCAGTTAGCTAGTGGTTGGCTGCGGCGCGTGTTCGGTATTGGGTAGGGTCGTCTCACTGTACACGATTTTACACGCTGCCTGCCCAGTCTCATGTGGTTCTTTCTCACCCTGTCACTTTCTTTCATGGTCATGCAAAGTCCCGGGTGAAAGTCGAAATCCGGTGAGTAACCGCCATTCGGCCAGCCCGGTAGTCATTACTGAGCTATCTCAACTTCTGATTGGGATTGTTTTCTCTAGTGTATGCGCTGAGCACTCATTTGACTGTGCGATTGATGTCACGTGCATGTTTCCTCCTTCTTGGGCCATGAATGATCGCAACTCGGAATCTAGTACCAAGTCTCACTTTTACATGCAGACATTGGCAGTTTAGGCGTTTTTTCTTCGGTCGCTCTGAGTTAGACACTTTTTTTCGAAACCTGGTTTTTCTTTTTTACCAATTTGTGTACCATGTACCTTACATTCTTATGTTAGGCACACTATAGACCGTTTCTCACGTTTTCCTTAAACCACAACGCTTAGATTGATGAGGGTTTTCCGTTCAGCTTGGCCCTTGCAGACTCACAGGTAGATCTCGTTTCGGACCTTTTGGCATGATCTATTATTATGCGTTTTCTTGTCGACTAATTGCGTTAACACCTGTCCAACCTCGCCTTTTCCAGATAACTGGATCGCGTGACATGAACTTGTCCAAATTTTCTTCCACGGCACTTACTCTTCTGACTACGTTTTGGTTTCTTCGAAACCTTTGAAATTTTCATCTCTTCATACTTCTTGCCGTGTTGCGTCCATTTAAAACATTCTGACTTTATCCTTTTCTACCGATAAACAACACAATTTTCGACATGATTATGCCAACCTTGAACCAGCAGCGTACCAAGCTATTAAAGGCTGCATCCCTCTGAACCTCACTCTTGCCGTCTGTTTGTGTCCAACCACACCCCTATCTTCAAGCGCATTCGACCCCCTATGATCACGGATGTGGCCCCGCCTGCGGCTTTGAACTGGCCGCATTCGAACTTCCACTGCATCCCTTTTGGCAGCATCCCCAGTTTCCATTCCCCCCATACGAATGAAAACACCTCCAGACACCCCTTGAATACACAGCATACACAGCATGCAGCTCGTACAATGAGATGACTGAATTTGCTGGTCAATATAGGAGGTCATTTTTAGGTACAACGCTGAATGACGATGTGACTACCGCGCTCCATCATTTCTCTGAAGGCATCAGTGACCATACCCTGCCTACTTCTAACCCCCGGCACTGTCAAAACGACTGAATTTCTGAATAATTCCGCAGGCCTGAACTGACAGCGTTGTTGACTGATGCCCGAAAGGATTACGCACTTGCGTTGTAATCCTGAATTCACCGGTTCGAATCCGCGTACGTGCGTCTGACTTTGCAGTATGCCCAACCCTCGCGCGACTGATAGTGATCGCGTGGCAGCACAGCGTCGGCACGTGCCGGCGTACTGCTGATGCCTTGTAGTACCCACTCCTCAGATGAGTCCAATCGCCACCTGGGCGTGAAACTTAACAAGCTTGACAAAATGCACTTGAAGTTTGGCATTACTCCTACTATTGACCACTTACCGTGAACTGCAAAGGTCGCGCTGCTGCTGATGCGATATCTCCAAATCAATTCTCAGATCGATGATCAACTCATCACTGTCATCCACATCCAGATTCAGAACTGCACATGTTCTCAAAATCGTCAGTTGTCTAACCTGTCACCCTCGCTGATTTTTGCGGTACTTTTGTCTTCACGGTTGATTTTCATACCGACTCCTTCTTTGCTTGCACTGTTTCCTGTTGATCTTCATTCTGTTTCTTCGTTTCCTTCATATTATCTATCTTTGGTATCATAGTGAAGTTGAGGGTGGTGACTCAATTCACTGCACCCTTTTGGTTGCCGGGCCTGTTATGTCCATATGTTCGATTGACTCTCACTTCTCGCAGCTAGTTAAGAGGTTAGTGATGGACGACATTTGTGTGTAGTCACGGTCGAAACTCCCTCCGTTCTGACGCCTTTCACAACTGTTTGAGGAAGAATTTTTCTCATGCATATACTCTTCTTATCTAGTGTTACCCATTTACATATTGTCCTAAATTCTTCAATCACTTTCGCTTCACACAAACACCACGTTTCCGACCTCAAGTTATCTAGCTGTCATTGTCCTGTTTGAATCTCGGTCAAACGTTTTTGCTCTGCAACTGCGACCGTATTCCATCTGTGCTTTCTGCGTTCCGTTTATAAACGAAAAATTTAGCAACCGGACACATCTTGATCACCCGTTTTTCATGCACCCTACTGTTGCGCGTGATGTGTGGCGTTTGGCCCACCGTCCACTGCCCGTCTCTGTGTGTATTGAATTCTTAGGCATTCCATTAACGGATCATTGTGTTCTAGCGCATACTTCGACAAATGTGCGACATGGTGACTTTGTTGTCACGTATTTTTGTTAATTTCTCTGTGTATTGTCGCCACTTTTCACATCTGGCTGTAAACAGGTGCGACTTTTTCAAACTATGCTTCACATTAAGTACAATGGGTAAACTCTTTTGTTCTCTTTTTACTAGTTACTTGACACCAGAAGTCTCGATAAATCATGGACCTTGTTGCACTACGTTGTTGACACTATCGAATCCCGTTTCCCGGCATTGGCCACTTTCTACGAGGAACTCGGTGACATCGCAACAGCAGCCAAAGGTGCGAATGCTTTTCTTTCACGCAACATCGCGCTTTTGCCACCGTATGCCTCAGTTTTTTTTCTAAGCAAAACGGTTGCTTAAACGGTTTTCGTTGTATTTTCCTGCACACGGTTGTGCTTCATTAAGAAAAACGAATCCACACCTTTCGGATAAAGTAACCTTCATCCTATGATCGTGATTTTCGGATCTAGATACTCATGCTAACTAATAGTCCAGTTGTCTTTCGTATACATTCATCCGGAAATTTTTGTGTCTCTTACTCTACATTGTCTGGCACTTCCCCACGGAAGTTCAACTTGCCTGTCTGGCTACTAACATGCTGGTAACGTGGAAGGACATATTCTATCCTATCCAGGAGATATGAGTTTGCAGCAAGGAAACGAATACAAGAACGCCGCTGGATTTGTGCCTTCGCCATATCCGACTTGGTTTATAACGGTTGGTTTGGTCAATCCGGCGGACCCTCCTTGCTCTTGTTTAACTCTGAACTTTTATCGAACAGGGCGCGGTCGCGATAGTTTGACAGATGCTCTAGTCTGACACCAATAGTCAAACTGACAATGAACTGCTGGCGACTAGGGCACTGCGTGTTCTAGGCTTCTGCCAGAACTAGGTAGTGCTTTGCATTCACCGGCGTTGAAACTAAAGCTATTTCTCGAAGTCTGCCTCACGCGATTGTCCCACTGCAGTTTGGCGTCCTCTGACCCGGCATCATGCAGTCTCCTCCAACGTTTGTAATTGTGATATTCCATGAGGCTTTGTCGCTGTGCGCAGTGACCGCCACAGGGGAGGCGGTTATGTAAGCAGCCGGACTCCTCTAGCTTTTCCACTTTTGTTTTGGTGACAGCGAACATGCCATGGCTGGCGGCATCCGGTTTCGGATTTGCCTGTCACTAGCAAGCCATAGGACGCCTGCGCCTACAGAGGACCATGGATGGCTTGCGCTGCACCACCCACAGCTCCAACCACACACCTCATATCCAGTGTAAACCAGAAGGAATAAGACCGGGAGGCATGTGGATGGGAACCACGTTTCATCAACGGAGCCGACCCACACTCCTTCACAGGCAAACACAACCGCACTGTATTTGGGAATAAAGCGCACACAAGGCGGTGGCTGGACCGTAGTCCGCTCCACACTGAGTGCATGGAACCACTCTTCGAGCCTAACACGGCCACAAGGACCGTGCACCCCGTCCCCTCCAGCAACGACCAACAGCTTCCTGGAGAAAGCAGCAACGCGGTAGTCAGTAATAGACATATAGGCATCTTGTCAACATGCACATCAAGTGCAGCCACACCGGGGATATCAAACAACAGCCAATCATTTGAGAAAGAGACAAAGATAATATCTCGATTAATGCATAAGAAAACGGTGACATAAACCTTAAATTAATGAGCATATGAAATAAGTTGTTTACAAACGAATTCTAGATAAGTTCACGAGGTCAGCAAGTATACTTTACGGAATGCCACGAACACAAAAATGCTACGGAAATCGAATACAATTGGCTTAAGCGAGGTGTGCAAGTTAATGGAATAGAGTACAGGTAGACATTTATATGAGAAAGAAAATCATTTAGGCAAAATTGAAAACCCACCACCTGAAATAAAGAGACTTAGCATACAAGTAGGCGGTTAGTAAATCGAATGCAGCGTGCCTACAAACGCTGCGCCGGTTCTGAATACTTCTCTGCAGGAGCCGTCGTCGCTTCTGTGTTGTCCCGAGTGGCCTCGCTCATGGCTCACTAGACATTTATATGAGAAAGAAAGGCATTAGGACAAAACTGAAAACCCACCACCTGAAATAAAGAGACTTAGCATGCAAGCACGCGGTTAGTAAATCGAACATGACATGACGTGCTTTAATAAAACCATAGAAATCCGGTTGCGCAGACTAATCGATCGCAGTTAAATAGTCGGTGGACTGTATTCTGTTTTGGCCATCTTGTATTATCGTGCGAAAATAAGCCGACTGGGCGTGAGTGCATGGTAACTTAAATCGTTGTGCGTAACGTGTTCGGCAGCCATCGGGTTCTCTACAGCTTGTATTTGTGATCATTTTGTTTAGAATTTTCTTGAACATACTCATCTATTCTTAAGCCGGCATATCTGCCATGTAAACATCCGATTAAATAGTATATACCTTGGCATTGCGAGTTATCAAAGTCACTCTCCTACTTTACTCCACCCCTTGCCACCATCAGCTAGTTGTCCTTCTGTCGGATTTTTTCACACACTTCTATACACTCTTATGAATTTGTGCGCGAAATATCTGTTATCGATTTACAATGACATTTGATCGATTCCCTGTGTATGCCATCATTATTGTTCAGTACCCATGGAGGCGCTCACCACCGACGTTGCCGCTCTTGTCGCCGGTATGACACAATCCGATAACGAGACCATCGTCGCTGGCCCGACAAACACACCAAAGCGATTGACCGAATTCATTCAAACAAACAAACCACGAGTGGAGTCTATTCAGGCGCAGGCAGATCGAGCGAAAACGCTCTTTGCCCAGACCATCGAATGGTTTGGCGAAGCACAGAACAAACCGAGTCCGGAAGTATTTTTCGGCATGATTGCCAGATTCGTGGAGAATTTCAAGGTGGGTCGGACCTTTTCTGTTAAGCACTCCCTTAAATGTCAAATTGTCATATACGTCAGGTTGAACCGTCTGTGTTGGGTCCTACTTCACCTGCGCACGGTTCGGCTGTCGTCTTAAAAACCCCGCATTTGATCATTTACTTTGTGTGTTTCCTAGTCAATACACCATTATGAGTATCAGGTCATGTCTCGATGTGACTCCAGCGTTTGTTTCGGAAACACTATTCTTTCAGTTTGTCTAATCCTAGACTGTGCACCACTCTCTCAGCCAGACATTTTAGCGTCAAGTCGCGGAGGCATATAAATTGACCTTTTCGTTTTAGTCTGTCACTTGCAATGTGTTTTTTCGCCAGTTTTAGTTTATTGCCAATTATTATGTAAATATCGATATCGTTTCAATAAAACTCCATCCTACCGGGAGTAGGCGTTTTTCTATTTTTAATGCTTCCGGTTTTTTGGAAAACTACTGTGTGACCCCCAATCGCGTCCGAAAAGTTGCACTCTGAGATTGTCCACTTGTGTTGCCAACCGAGCAGATGTCGGGAGCTTAGATTCTACAGCTAAACTAAAGGAATCACACTTCTCACATTGCGGTGGTTGTTGGCTAATTTGTCGAAAGCTTTCATCCGCTGTCTCATCTACTACAGCGATATGCCAGTCGATGCGCACACCAGCTACACTCCACCACTACGGTATTTCTGTGTATGTCCGACCAAATAATTGACGTGTTTGCGGAGAATGTTAAACACATTCTTGTCTACGAGAACCAATCGGGACTTGAATTCTGGATATACTGGGAACCTATCGAGAAGTCTTGGTTTCAGAGAGATTTGCGAACAATTCTTTGATTTATTTATTTATCAACGTTTCGCTTTTGACGTAAATGGTTGGTCAGATCATGTGATTTGTTACATCATTGGTGTGGGATTTCATAGCGAACGATGAAGAAGATGGCGACAAATGAGACATGATTCAATGGACTCCTACATACAGGTCTTAAAGTCATATCAAGTGGTCCTGTCAACTTGAGAGTTTCGCCGTCGCTCGCGTTGCCAATTACGATCTTGGTGACAGCGTTGATGGGGTCGCTTTTCGCTATCCAGCCTGATCCGTGTGTCTACGCTTGTCGAAAGCGAAACGTTGCCAAAATAATGCATCAATCGATGAGGGTTCCTTGACGCAGTGTCACAAATCTGGAAGCACTTCTATCCAACAGACTGTCTTTTGTGTCTACTTCAGTGAAAGATTCATACAAGATGAACGCAGCGAGTTGTCCTATTCTGCCAGAAATCCGAAACGCAAAATTGTGTAGTCCACGCTTACAACGGAATACGCATAAAAAGTTTGAGTTGTTACAGTGCATAACGGAGTAAAAAATCCGGTCACACGGTTGTTTTTTTTGCTGCCTTGATGGTGTCCACAAAGGAGACTAAACTAGATACTTTTCGAGTATTCTCGCCTTATCTTGTTTGGTCCGGTTAGATTTCATTTGGATATGAATATGTGGATTAGACACGGTCAAGAAGGCCTTCAGTTCAAATGTCCCTGGGGTTCGTTTTCCCCTGTCGCATTAGAGGTTATGTCACCTTAAGCACCTACAGTTTGGCTTGGTCAAGTGGAGTAGAGCGCTGATGCTGTTGTTAACGGAGTATGGTGTAATGCCTTGCGTGCTCAGTTTGGCGCTTTGGGTTTCTTGTGTATAGGAACTTGGTTTTGTGAAACGGTGGGACTGGAAGAATGCGGCAGTAACGCGCTTCAGACTCACTTCTGCGCAACGGTTTTGGTTCTTTATTCTGAAGTGAGTTCGAGTGCGTCAGCTCGACTGAGGAAGACGAAAAAGCAAGGAGAAAGCGAGGAACAAATCGATCCGGTCCTTTCTTGATAAGCTCTCTCAAATCCCTATGACTTTTCACAAGAGAATGGATTTTTTACTTCTTATTTTGTTCATTATGTCATCATCGTTACACATTATCTGGAGGCGAGAAACAACTCAGCTATTGTACCGCAGTACAAAAGATGGATTACATGTAAATGCGAGATACAAAACATTACAGAACACAATGTAGAAACCAAAAAAAGTAATCTGATGCTTTGTATCATATTACTCATCGGCTGTGAGATCGTATTTGGAGGGAGAAGATAAGCGGGTGGATGGACATAGAAACTCACAACTCAAACGCCATTCGTGCCGGCTCTTCGCTATGTCAACTAGTGTATCCAGCCAAACGTGTTCATCGTCTTTCGGGTCCCAACCAGGGAGCCTAGTGGCTTCAACCGAGGTCAACTTCGGACTAATAGCCTTCATTCCTCTTGACCAAGTCATCACTTGGCCCCCTCATCTTCTATCCAGATCCCGGTCGCACAAACAACGCACGTCGCGGGTGTCGGAGTGCTTGCATGCGCAACACGGCCTAGCCATCGGAGTCTGGTGCGTGAAATAACGGTGTTTAGCGGTTCACTCGCTCTTCCTGCACCGAAAACGAGACGCCGAACACGCTCATTGCTCACACGATGTTTCCACCATATGTTAGCTAGACTGCGAAGGCACCGCTAGTCGAACATAGCTAGCCTCTTACTTCTGTCGGTCTGATGGGCCGGGTTTCACAACCGTACATGAGGGTTAAACGGACGTCTGCGTTGTAAAGTCTGCTCTTCTGGGCTAGAGTGATATTGCACCGGCGCCACGGGTGATGGAGATTGACAAAAGCGCGTTAAGCTTTCTTTCGAGAGTTCGTAACCTCCTCTTCTATTCCACAACCGCTCATATAGCTGCCGAGATACTTGCATTTCTGAACGATCTCTGTTTGCTACCCACCAAGGGTCATCACAGCATTGGGTCCCTGCCAATCTTGAAGGACTTTGCATTTTGAGAGTGCAAGTCATATCCCGAAATTATTGACAAACAATGCTGCCACAGATGAAGGCAATGGTGTGGACGTACTCCAAGTTAAAAAATCCACCACCTGGGGGCAGCTCCACACCTTCTACCTTCGTCAACGACGAAGTTAAAAAAGAGCGGTGACAGCGGACAGCCTTGTCTTCCGAATTCGAAGAGGACTGGAGGAAGTCTCTTATCTTGCGATCTTGTTCATTTTCAAGTCTGATCTCACAATCGACTTCTTTGCATGACGGATCCAAGGGGACGGTGCGGGAGCATAGCGGTCAATAGACTGTAATGAGTCTAGTAGTTCCGCCCAATTAAATTTATTTTCAAATTACTCAGACCATTGCTCCAAGTGTTTTGACAACCTGTCACTAGGTTATCCAATCTTTTCGTATATAGTTTCGCTAACACTAGGTGTCTTGCTTCCCGTTTTGCGTATCAGACGGAATAACAGGATGGTTACGAAGCGCAGCGGCCATTTCCATATCCGACGCTCGATTAGATCACCAGGTTTTCCGGTCTCACTTGAGTGTCTGCGAGTCTCTTTGTGTTTGCTCCCAGCCGGAACACGTTGGTGTGCATCCAAAATTTCTAGAGACTGGATGGAGACCCAATGTTTAAGCTGGCAATTTGATTTGCCACATGAAAACATGCCTGCTGCTGGTAACGTCAGACGGATCGCGACCAGTGATCTTCAACTGGGTTCAGTGAGCGTTTATTTAGCTCGAATGCCAGCGTACTTTAATACGCATTCAGAACATCTGGCTTACCCAGTTGGCACGTATCTATGTGCTCACAGCGCTGTTGCGGGTGTCCACCGAAATCCACCCACAGGTCGGCGCACACAAGTACGTGATTAGAGACCACGCTCGGGCTCCAAATCGAGCGACATTTTGAGGCACAGCCTCTTGTGGTAACTAATCGTGAGGTGGTTGATTACATGCATAACTGGTCCGAGGCTGATGAGCGCTGTCACCCTCCCGCGGTGCTGTGTTGGAAGTTAGTGCTGGCGAGAAATAGACGAGTATCTTCGCACAGATGTAGCTACCGCTCACCGCTTTCATTCTTTCCGCTATGGTCTCTGTAGTTATTACTTCCATTTCATGGTTTTCGCTAGCTCTATGTCTATTTTATAGACTGTTGATAATAATAATGTAATCCTACACCGTGTTGTCTCCTAGATTAAACTCATCAGTGGACAGTTACCTAACTTGGGTGTTCACATCACCAGCACCCACCACAGTATCCCTACTTTTTCTGTAACGACGATGCTCCTTTAATTGGTGATAGAAGTCATCTTTCACCAAGTCAATGCTGCAGTTTGCAGGGGCGTAGGTTACAATCACATGCAGGCCCCGTTTGTCCCAGCGCAACTTCAAAGCTTTGAGTCAGCCACCCATTTTGACGGCGCACATTCAGCTGTTGGTTGAGCTCCAATCGATCAGGACAGCTTCAGCCCGGGGACTCATCATCATCATCATCATCATCATCATTACACGTTAGCTGGAGGTGGAAAACACCTCAGCTATTGTGCCGCAATACAAAAGGCAAGAAAAGAGAAAACAAACAAACAAACAGTGGCACGCCGGCTGAGTCCCTAGTAACGGATGGACATCGTTCCGGAGAGCTAACAGCTGGCTGCCGTAAAAGAAGGTCATATTATGCCTAACGATTGAGATCGTGATTGGAGGGGGATGCTAAACAGGAGCGGGATGGATAAAGGAACTCACAACACAAACGCCATTGGGGCCGGCTCCTAGCCATATCAGCAAGTGTGTCCAACCAAACGTGTTCACCGTCCTTAGGACCCCAGCCAGGCAGTCGGGATGCACCAACCGACGCCAACTTCGAAGTGAGGGTTTTCATTTCTCTCGACCAAGTCATCACTTGGCCTCCCCTCCTCCTCTTCCAACCGCACCCACAACGCGCAAACAATGCACGTCGTGGGAGTCGGTGTGCTGGCATGCGCAACACGTGGCCAGCCATCTGAGTCTGGTGCTGAGCGGTTCACTCACTCTTCCTGTACCAAATACGCGACGTCGAACACGCTCATTGCTCACGCGGTGTTCCCACCAGACATGAGCTAAGCTGCGAAGGCAGCGATGATCGAACGTGACGAGTCTCTTCATGTCTGTCGACCTGATGGGCCAGGTTTCACAGCCGTATAGGAGAGTTGAACTGACGGCTGCGTTGTAAACTCTGCCCTTGAGGGCGAGAGTAATGTCGCGTCTGCGCCACAGGTGGCGGAGATTGGCAAAAGCACCTCGAGCTTTTGCTATACGGTTCGTAACCTCATCTTCAATCCCACGGGTGCTAATATAGCTGCCCAGGTACTTAAATTCCTGAACGACTTCTAGCAGATCACCACCAAGCGTTAGCGCAGGGTTGGGTCCCTGCCAATCTTGGAGGAGTACTTTGCATTTCGATGGAGCAAAGCATAGCCCAAAACGATTGACAGCCAGTGCTAATCGGTTCAGTGCTGTTTGGCATGTTTGGGAGCTGTCACAGATTAGGGCAATATCGTCTGCATACTCCAAGTCAAGAAGTCGCTCATCAGGAAGTAGCTCCACACCTTCTAGGTCGTGTCCAGCGAACGCTGTTTCCATGACTTCATCAATAGCGAAGTTGAAGAGGAAAGGTGACAGCGGGCATCCTTGTCTCACACCGCTGGTGACACTGAAGGGTGGCGAGAGTTTGCCATAAACCCTCACCCTGCCCGAACTATGTGCGTACAGCGCTTTGATAATGTTTACATATTTATCAGGCACACCTTTCCTCAACAGACAGTTCCAAAGGGCACATCGATCGACTGAGTCGAAGGCACCTTTTATGTCAAGAAACACGACAATGGTGGGTCGCCAATAAACATGGCGGTGCTCCAACACTTGACGCAATGTGAAGATGTGGTCGATGCAGCCCCGACCTCGACGAAATCCGGCTTGCTCTTCACGAATTTGGCTTTCACGAGTGCCAGTCAGTCTGTGGAGAATGAGAGAGGCAAGCAATTTAGAGGCAGTCGAAATCAGCCTGATCCCTCTATGATTGCCACATTCTAAGCGGGAGCCTCCCATGAAAATTGGGACAATGACGGAGCGGTTCCAGTCTGTCGGGACTGTCTCCTGCTCCCAAAGTTTTACTAGCAACTCGTGTAGATCATCTACTAGAGCAGGTCCACCGAACTTGAAGAGGGCTGGAGGAATTCTATCTGCTCCTGTGGCCTTATGCAATTTCAACAGCCTGATCTCACGTTCGACTTCTGCGCGTGAAGGCGGATCCAAGGAGAAGGGCGCTCAATGCCCGAAGAAAGCGATAACTCAGGTTGGTTAAATTGCATAGCAAAGTGTTCAGCCCAACGCTCCAAGCGTTTTGACAGGCTGTGGATCGGCTGCCCACTCTCGTCGCGTATGGTCTCGTTAACACCAGGTCTCCTGCTGCCTGTTGCCCGTATCAGCCGGGATAACTTACGATGGTTACCAATGGCAGCGGCTGTTTCCATCTCAGAGGCACGATGAGACCACCAGGTTTCGCGGTCCTTCTTTAGGCTAGCACGTAGTTTCGCCCTGAGATTTTTGCGAGCTTCATTGTATTCGCTTCCAGCCGGAATACGTCGGCGAGCATCCATAAGTTCCAGAGACTGTGTAGAGACCCAATGTTTGGTTTTGCAATTTGTTTTGCCACATGAAGACATGCCTGCTAATAGCAACGCTTGACGAGTATGCGACCAGTGATCTTCAACGGTGTTTAGTGGGCGCTTACTCAGCCTAGATGTCAGCGCATCTTGGTACACATTCAGAACATCTGGCTTCGCCAGCTGTCTAGTGTCAATCCGTTCACATCGACGTCGCGGACGTCCACCGAAACGCACCAGGAGGTCGGCACAGTACAAGTGCGTGGTCAGAGTCCACGGTCGTGCTCCAAATCGAGCGACAGTTTTGGACACAGCCTCTCCAGCGGTAACTGATCGCGATATGATCGATTTGCGTCCATGACTGGCCCGAGGCTGGTGGCCGCCTGTTGTAACGCTGGCCTTTTTGCCTCTCTGTCTCTCTGCGCTACCAACCAGCCGGGGAAAACAAAACGCTGAGCCTGCTGGACCGAAGTATATTAGGCACAAAACATGGCTACTTTTATAGGTCACATGCGCTTACCTCGCCTCCCTCATGAGGTGAGTCACCATCTCTTGTCAGAACATGATCGACTCTGGCAACCGCATCACTGTCTGACTGTAGGTAGGACCACGTCCGCGACATAGCAACCCGTGCGGCGATGACGGTCTGATTTCGTCAGCTTCCGGTTTGACCATGACAACCAGTCTGAGCCGCTCACGTGATCTGGCCGATCTCGCCCGGTTAGTGTGCACCATCGTAGTCAGCTGTTTTGCCTCCGTGACACCGCCAAGTCACACTTCTGCGGGTGCTGTGTCGAAAAATAGTGCTCGCGAGAAACAGGCGAGCATCTTCACACAGCTGTAGCAATCGCTCACCATTATCATTACGGAGACTCAGCAATGCCCACATCGACTTGATCGACATATGAAGCTACGTCATCTCCAGACTTACTCACTTACTTGCTTACTTAATTACTTACTTCTTTCCTTAATTATTTACCTAATGCTCAGTTATTCCCTTGCTTAATTAGCTAGTTAATTGCTTGCTCTTTTACTGTCTGCTCACTTGCACCCACTACTTGTTTTTCTTCATTTGTGCCCACCGGTTTATGTTCGAACCTTAAGCAACACCAGTCACTCCCTTCTCGTAGAAATACAGTCTTCAGTCGCTTGTTTTCAATTATTTCTAATCTTACCTTTGTATATCTTTCTCGTTTAATTGGTACACTTTGTTCTGATCAGAGTTGGGTGAGTTGGCGACATTATTTCCTTGGTACGGCGTTGTTGAGGATACTGGACCGTGTGATTATTCGCTTTTTCCTCTCCGTTTGATATGTCAGTATGGCGCAGGAACTGTTCCATCCTTACAATGTAAGCTAATCTCTATTTTACCGCTGGTTCTTTCACGATTATTGTTTCTCTGCTACACGTACTCCTTTCTCGCAGCTCAGTCTTTTCGCTATGTTCACTTATTGAAAGATATGGCTCGCCATCGCCTGCGACTAAATCAGCCTTAGCACGCCTGCTTATCTTGATTGATTTTCTCCGATTTGATATTCCATTCTCTGTCTATTCGTTTCAGAAAGCCTTAGCTGATAATGAAAAGAGACGTCGAATCGATGCTCTTCGTATGCTACAGTCCGCTACAGAAACAGGCACATCGACCGCATCCGGTGTGCAAAACGCGTGTCCGAAAAGGCCAAAGGATGTGAGTGTCTTACCACTTTATTTCTGATGGTCGGTTCCACACATTATTCTCTGCTCTGCATGTTTTTTTCAAAGCCAACTCGTGTTCTAGCCCATCTCATACACTGCCGGATTTTCCGCAGTCCTCTGACGAAACACTCTCGCGATCTCTGGTGTTGTTGTGTCCGGTTCACTTTTCTGGCCATGCTCTACTCACGCGGACTGACGGCTGTCAACCATCATCCGGATATTGAAAAGTGTCGAAGGACTTTGGGAAATTCATTGATGCACTAGCCTTACTTCCATTTCCTCACAACTTCCCACTGGCATAGCTGACGATTGTGGTTCTCCTTGATCGATCTGGAAGCTGTTTTAGACTCCGTTATATGAACAAGCTTGTCGTGCTGCTATTTATCTGTGAAGGGCATGCCAGGCATTAATTCTTTTCTTGTTTATCTTTAACTGGACTTCCGAGGCCGAGTGCGGGTCTGCGGCGGTGTGTTCACCACTGCGGGTGAGCGGTGCCAGCATTGTTCTATATCTATGTATCGAAACGCTCATAAACAATTCTGTCCTCTTAATCTGGAATCTCTACCACGTGACTGAATGATATACCTTGAGTATGCGGACGCCGAAGGGAATCTTACCCAGAAGCTATACTCGCACAGTTGAATAGACTGACGCATTTCGCTGCGCGCATTGGCATATACAAAGTACTGTTGCAGATTGGACCGATGCACCGCTGGTTCTTGCTATCGGCGAACAGCCACTGGAAGTGATGGATCGGCTCAGGTATCTTGGTAGCTGTCACTCTGGTCACATCATCGAGGAGGTTACTTCTGGTACTAGCAAACCTCGTGTGAATTTTCAAAACTCGACCACTTGTGGAGACGGCGGGACATCAGCCTATTAGTGAGAGTCCATGGCGTAGCAACTGCTTTTTCCGCCCTGGGCGGTGGTAATATTTTCACCCTGACTAATGGCAGAATAGGCGCGTGATGGTCACACAATCGACTCAGCGTAAAGTACGCATTATTTTTCGATGAAATAATTAATTGTTTGGAACACAGAGGTAACTGTGGTGAAAGTGACCGCGGTAGGACAAATAAGGGGGTTGCTGGAAAGAACGTTTGCACAGGTGTGACACATGGCGCAGTGTTGTTGGTCATACAGAGTAACGTTAAACTCTCCAACGCTCATCTTATCCAGCTATTTTGCCGCTCATGTTTGATATCGAACAATCGATAGTACTAAATATGCCGCCTCTTTTCATGCGCCTCCCGAGACGGACCACCCGCCCCCCTATGCCACGCCTCTGATTAGAGTGTATAATGCTGCGACATTACGTGTGTTACTGTATGGATCAGAAACATGCTTAGTTCGCAGTGAGGACCTTAAAAGATTGGTTGTCTCTGATCACACATGCTTACAGAGTACTGCTCACATCTGGCGGGACGTCGGGGAGCAATGATGAAGTTCACCAGTTGGCATTTGGCAGGAGGACTTCTGGTACTCCACCTGGGTATCCTTCAGACATGGCGAATTTGTATAGCCATTGGCATTTCTGCTTGTATCTGTACTCCCTGACTACCCCTTATTTGTGTTCTCTCTGCGGTCTACTTCACTTTTTATTGTTCTCCTGACGGCGCGAGTTTTGGCAACTGGGTCCACGGCAGTCCTATGTCCGTATCATAGTTGTTTGACCGAACTGAACATCGCCTTGGGTCACTATACAGGTTGCTTGTCTGGTTCAGAGTCCTGGATGTATTTACGGCACTTATCGATGGTTTATAGTCATTACACCTGTATTTCCTCAAACCGTGTTCTAGTTACTTGTGCCGAATGATTTTCTCGTAGTCGTTGCAGTCCTTTTTGGTTTCCGCTTTTCTATTCTCCGAAGAATAGATTACGGCCTGCTGCAATATGCACTTCATTCCTGCATGCGATTTATCTCCCGGTTTTGTACCTTTGCTGATTTTTCCTTATTCCTTCTCTTTTACTTGAGTTCCGTCACAACCAGGCTTGCTGCGACGATTTGAGTACCTCTGACCTATGCGGCTATACTGAGTGGTACACCCGGGCACCTTGAGAGGCAACCCTACCAAGTTGGTCAGTGGTTCGAGGTCAGTCGAACTCAGTCTCTTGTTCTTCCAGATTAGGGGTTTGAAATGGGATGGCGTCCACTTCTCTAAAACTAAACCATTACCACCTCGCCGCTGCCTTGTGGGCGGGCTTATGAGCCAAAGGCTTTGGTTGAGGACCCTAATCGTCCTCTAGCCTAGATCTGCGTTCCATAGCAGTATCTCAGCCCACATACAACCATGACAATTTCACCAAACTCTAATTACATCCTGCATTAGCCGTCGCACAGATTATCAAGGGTCGTCTTATCTGCTGCATACAACAGGGCGGATAAGTGAAAACTTTCTCTTAGTCCCATCCCGACTTCCATTACTAACCTTCCTTCTATAATTCCCAGCTTAATTGACAGCAGTCGTAATGCTACTGGCGTCGAAACGTCTGCAGCTACCTTCCCGCACCACCCACTGGCCGCCTATCGGCAACAGTCTTTTATAAGACTACGTTGTCCCGTTTCCTTCGCGGCGTTCAATATCCGCACTCTAAGACAAATCAGGCAATCGGCTGCACTCGCACGCACGTTGGACACACTGGGTATTGAAATGTGTTGCGTATCCGAAATTAGAATCAATGACCCTAATGGGGTTGTTTAACTAACTGCGCCCGGCTTGTCCGCTCGCTATTGGTTGCACACTGATGCGGAAACCACTGTCCAAGCTGAAGTGGGCATCGTTCTCAGCCCCAAGGCTGAATCATCGTTCGTTGTTTGGATTCCGGTGAACAGCCGTTTGTGTGCAGCTCGTATGACAATATTAACTAAGCTTCATTCGCCGGTCAGTAGTAGACGCTGTTTGTTTGTGGTTTCAGTTTATGTCCCCACCGACTGCAATTCTGATGTCGCCAAGGTCACCTTCTACCACGTACTGAACGCGCTGCTTCATAGTGTTATCAGTTCAGATATCGTTCCTGTTTCAGGGGATATGAGTGCGCAGTTAAGTGTTCTGTAATCTTCAGAAACTCATCTAAATGGTAAATATAGGCTTAACTCCGACCGGACGGACAACGACAAGCGTGTGTTGCAACTGTGTGGAACATCGGCTGTTTCTTGGTAGCACCTCTTTCGAACCCAATGGGTGCCGAAATGCGATTTTCCTTCCTCCTACATCTAGCATGCGATGGACCCAGATAAATCGTGTGGCTATACGTTACAGGTTGCGTTCTAAAATGCCTGCGTCGACTGATCATGCCTTGATATCCTGTTCTGTTTCTGTCAACTTTACCGCGATTGGCAACTCCGAAGTTATCTCCGTCAGGTAAGCCTACCTGGATGCCCTGCGTACCGAACGTTAGCCCTCTCGCCTTAAGGACTCTGAGCTTCCGTGAAACCGAATCTACGTCATCATGCACGACCCGTAAGTCTGTACTTGCAGCACTGTCACTCGCCAACGCAGCAGTCACTGGATATCCTAGAGGTCTGTTGGATTCCCGAAGTAAACTCCCCACTTACCCTGAGCACAATGTAACCAGACGAACTATCTGTTTCGAACTAATGCAGAGTCTGCGTATTGACAAGAAAGCCTGGTGAGCCAGTAGTGTACAAGAAATGGATGCGGTAAGCAATTATTGCAAGCTCTCCCAATTGATCCGCACCGCTGGTCCTAGGAAACCAGGCGTCAGTGAGACAGCACGGGCGTCCTAATTCACCACAAGGAGAGCCATGTCGCTCGTTAGGCTGAGTAGTTTCGAGATCAGTTCATTAGTCTCTTCGCTTCCGAACCTCTTCCTACTCAGATGACTCAGGCTAATGCGAGCAATTCATTCCCTTCAGCAATTTGAAAACTACGACAATAGACGACAGTCGGTAGATGCAAGCATTTCCTAGTTAAAGGCTCTATCGGAAGCTGAAGTCCGAAACGCCATCGCAGCCCTCATTCGTTTTCGAACTACTGGTCCGGATTCCCTTCTACCTGCTTTACTTAAGGATGGAGGTGCGGACCTGTTCAAAGCGCTGCTCACCCTATTCGAATATGTCTGGAAGGAAGAGACCACCCCAGCTGACTAGCGCATCGACCATAGTGCCAATATACAAGAAGAGCAGTCGCACCGACTGTGGTAACCACAGAGGTATTAACCTAACGCCAATGGTAACAAAATTATTGACATCCTTACTCGTTCGTTGTTTCACTTTTGGAACATGAATCCTGGATTAGGAAGAGTAACTATGTTTCTGCTTAGGACGGAGGTGTACAGACCAAATACTCACTCTGCGGCAGATACTAAAGCAGCGCAAACTATGCCGTACGCCGACAACAGCTGTGTTTCTGGACTTTAAGTGGGCATTCGACTCATTCGATCGATGTACTGTATTCGAAACACTTGTGCGGTAAAGTATTCCCATGAAATATGTGAACATTTTACATGCCTTGTACTCGAATACCACCGGCCGTTAAATTTCAATCATGCTCCGGCAGTATGATCAACAGACTGGGTTCATTTGTCTACTGGTGTTCTGTTAACCGGTTTAATCCTGTCTGGAACTGCCACTTCTTAGCGCACATCAGTGGTGTGCGTGGAACGCTCGGTTAGCTTTCTTCTTTCCAAACCCATTGCCGTAGTGTGCTTATTGCTTGTGCCCTGTAATCTCGTCACTTTGCTTGATTTGTGAGACGTCTGTGCTTCGATCGACCTTGCGTTCCTATTTTTCTACAGTGTAGCTAGTAACTATTCTCTTATCTCGATATCTTTGAACGCACCCACCGGATTCAATTATCTACGGAGTACCCTCTCTTGAGCTCACCATTACGGTCGGAATGCACTAGGGACGTTCTCATTCTCCTTTACTCTTTAACTTTGTGATGCAAATGGCTGTTGCAACTGTTTATTCTTGAACGAGATTCTTGCCACTTCGCCTAACCGTAAGCTTAGTGGGTGCCAACGATATGG